TTGGGGCATATGCTCCTTCCTGAGCACCGCCCTACAGCCTCCACGTAGGAAGGGGGCCATGACCGGGAAGCCCTGGAGGAGAGCCTGCAGCCTGGATGGAAGGCATTGCGGATAGGCACAGGGCAAGCAGAGGCCAGTGGCAAGACTGAGGACAGCAGAGAGGCCACCGGAGCTGAGGGAAGGGTGCTGGGCTGGGCAGGAGCCGAGGGGAGGTGTCACATGCCAGCCCAAGCACACAGGTCTGACCCTGAGACCAGGACCCAGAGGGGGGCTCAGCAGAGCCATACCAGTGGACAATCAGAATTGCTGGGTAACTTCTTAAAAATACAGCTTCCTGGAACCTACAGAGGTACAGCTCCAGACACAGCACTCTACAGGTTCTTCAAGAGGTTCTCCTGAGGCCAGGGACAGGGGCTCCATGGGGCTGCAGGACCTTGAGCAGGGATATGTCCTCCTGAGAACTCCCTGATGTGGCATTCCTAACAGTCCCCTGCCCCACGTGGCTGTCCCAGAGGCCCTGGCATTCTGGTCTACTTCTTGATCCAGGGTCCTCCTGCTCCTCCTCTTCCTCTCCCACCCCCTCCTGCAGCATCACAGCCACTGCGGCCAGCATCGGGGCAGCTGGCATTCCCCAGGCCGGGCTCGTCACCATGGTCATCGTGCTCACCTCTGTGGGACTGCCCACTGACGACATCAACCTCATCATCGCTGTTGACTGGGCTCTGTGAGTGGTTGGTCCCCACCCCGGACCCACCCCTCAGGGAGGGGGCTGGCTTTGAGGGCAGCGGGTACCAGGGTGGGGGACTGAGCCCCTTCTGCAGGGTGGGCTGGGTAACTGCTGTGTTTGGCCGTGTTTGGCATGGACACAGACCTGGCTGCATCATTTGTCTGGCCAAGTACTCAGAAATGAAAATGTGAGGCCCCTTGTTCAAAAATTATAAAGAATTTCAAGATGGCGACAGCAGAGCGTTAAACCAAGCCTTGCCCTTCTAAGCATGCGGTCCTGTGCGGCACCCTGCCACATACCTGGGAAGTAAGCCAGCCGCCTGTGCTGTGGCTTCAAAAGCCTCACTCCTTTGGGTTGAGCATTGTCCTCTTCCAGCTCCCCTTAAAGTGCCTTCCGCTCACCACCCACCTTGGCTCACCAGGGACCGTTTCCGCACCATGATTAATGTGCTGGGTGATGCACTGGCCACGGGGATCATGGCCCACATCTGCCGGAAGGACTTTGCTCAGGACATGGGCACTGAGGTGAGAGCAGTGCCTCCCTCCAGCCTGGCAACCCAGAGGCCAGCAGGAGGGCAGAACTGGGTGGGGCAGGCAGCCGACCAGCTGGGCAGCCTTTAGCCAATTCCTCCATGCCTCTGGGTCTTGGTGTCCTCATCTGTTACTAATTCCTCTAACATCCATTTATTGAGCATTCACCATGGCAGGCACTGATCTAGACACAGGCAGAACAACTGGAACAAAACATGATAAAATCCCCTGCCCTCGTGGAATTACACTCCAGTGTAGGATGGCGCTGTCCTGCTTATCGACAACACAAACATTCGTAGGTCTGCACACAGCTGCATGGTCTTTGGGACTCCTTCAATAGCCACATGTAGCAGACTGCCCCCACTTCATGGGGATAAAACTGAGGCCCAGGCAAGGGAGCCATCAATTCCCCCGCCGGACCCTGGTCAGGTCCCCTCCTTTACTAAGACAGCCCCAGCAGGAGACAGGACAGCTTGGGAACTGGAGCCCAGAGAGGTCACACAGCATTTCTGTAGGAAAATGTATCTCATGGCTCTCCACCCTGAGCTTGTTCTGCTCCACTGACCCTCAGTTCTCCCTAGTGTCTAACCTGTCCCTCCTGCTGCTACCAAAGCCTGTTTCCCCTCTCCAGAAACTGCTGCCCTGTGAGACCAAGCCGGTGAGCCTCCAGGAGATTGTGGCGACCCAGCAGAATGGCTGTGTGAAAAGTGTGGCTGAGGCCTCAGAGCTGACCCTGGGCCCAACCTGCCCCCACCACATCCCCGTACAGGTGGAGCAGGATGAAGAGCCAGTCGCCACCAGTCTGGACCACTGCACCATTGAGATCAGTGAGCTCGAGACCAATGTCTGAGCCTGCAGAGCTGCAGGGGCCAAGTGAAGACTCCGGGATCAGGGGCCAAGGGGTTGGGATGTCACCTCACTCCATCTCCTGCTGCACCATTGAGATCAGTGAGCTCGAGACCAATGTCTGAGCCTGCAGAGCTGCAGGGGCCAGGTGAAGACTCCGGGATCAGGGGCCAAGGGGTTGGGATGTCACCTCACTCCGTCTCCTAGAGACCAATGTCTGAGCCTGCAGAGCTGCAGGGGCCAAGTGAAGACTCCGGGATCAGGGGCCAAGGGGTTGGGATGTCACCTCACTCCATCTCCTGAGCAGCTGACAGGGGCCAGGCTCACAGATGCTTCCTAACCTTGACAGACGAATTAGCCTGCCTTGATGGAAAATGGAGTCTCAGAGAGGGGAAAGGCCACATGCAGGAGCCCAAACCAGAGAATGACGGGCCCAGCACAGCCCCAAACCTGGCTGTGACAGTTTCCGCCATACGAGCCTGTGACTGTGGCACACAGAGGTTATGGTCCCCACTTTCTGGATGCCAGAGTTGAGGCTTTGGGAGCTAAAAACACTTACCCAAGGTCTCAAGCAAGTGATGTCAGGGCTAGGACTCTAACTCAAGCCTTCAAGCCCTGGCCACTACCTCCTGAGGACAGGGCCACCTGTAGGGCCAGGTACTGAGAGGGGCTCTGCCCCTCTCCTGGAGCCCCACAGCCACCACAGCTTCCAGTTATGAAGACATAACAACAGGGTCCTCTGGCTTCTGCCCTAGCTGTGTCCAGGCCTAGGCCAGCCCCTCACCCCACCCTATATCAAATGGCCTCAGCCAAACAGCTCTCCCCACGGGCAGGCCCAGTCCAGGGCCAACAACTGCTGCCTTCCACGTGCCACCATCTATCCAAGTGTCTCTTGCAAAGCTCATCTGACATGGAGACAGGTACCTTCACTAGAACTGGAAGGCCCCTTAGAAGCATCCAGGCCAGCCCCCCACAGGGCAGAGGGGCAAACCAGGACCCAAGGAGGGAGACTCAGTCTGGGATGCGCTGGTCAAGCTGTCAGCAGGGCCCTGGCATCAGAGCTCTCCAAAGACCTAAATGGTGAAGTGGAGCCAGACTTTCTATTCCTTTCTGTGTTTGCAAATTCAGCAGTAACTGAATAAATTATTCTGTTTTTCAAGTCTTGTGGGCTTAGAGACCATTCTCTGACCAGTACTTCTTTATTGGGCTAATATAGGCTGTTGGAGTACAGACAGACCTGTCTGGGCAGCCAGAATATGGACAAGCCTGTGCAAGCAACCAGAATACAAACAGGCTTGTCCTTGTAGCTAGAGTGTAGACAGGTCTGCCCAGGTGCCTGCCCGGGCAGCCACAACGCAGATGAGCCTGTCCTGGTGACCATGGTGAAGACAGGCCTGTCACATGCAGAAGACAGTTCAAACCAGCCACAGTGTGGACAGACCACTCTGCCCCTAGCCTGGTCTCTCTGCTCTGCAGGCAGGGCCCCAAGATCAGTTCCCATAAAAGGAACAAATTTCCTCAGCCAGTCTGGCTCCCTTTGGTAAATGCTTTGCTTTAAAGAGGGGACATGCCCAAGGACATTTCCAGACTGTTTCCCTCATTTTCCTCCAAGAGGCCTGTAGGGCACACAGAAGGGTCCTATTCTAGATGTGCCTTGGGGAGAAGATATGGCTCTGTGGTCTGCACAGGTTTTACACCATGACACCCATGAAGACTCTGAGGCCCAGGGAGGGGACAGACCTCCCCAAGGTCATTCAGACAGTCAGGAAGGCACCTGCTCCCAGCCGCCCACTCCTGAACTTCTATCCTCTTTCCAGAGTCATAGTCTTGAGGAGTCCAGGAAGGACCTTAACCCCAGGATACCTTCTGCCACTGCAGGCCTGGAAGCTGTAGGTCCCACCCTGAGAGCACCCTTCCTTTGTTGGGCCTAGTCACCTAGGAGAGGTTAGATGCCCAGCTATCAGTCACTCCCACCTCCATGTGGATGGGCTTACTCGTTCCTTCCTTGTGTCACATTTCTAAGACCCTTTCAGCAATCCAGAATGCCCCACCACAAGGCAGGAGTCTGCTCTTTCATAGGCATGATAGTAGCATACTGACACACCTCCAGTAGCAGGAGGTTGCCACTTTCTGGGCTTCTCAATCCACTGTGGGGCAGCTCTGTCCAGCAGATCCTTCTTTGCTCAGAGCTGGGTGTTGCCTCCCTGCTGTTTTCTCCCCTGGTCCTGGCTCTGCCACTGCCACTGGGGTGTGGGGTTGGCACACTGGGGCTGTCTGCCACCTCTTCCCTGGGAAGGCCTGCAGAGACCTGGGCCCCCAAGTTGGCTCTGCTCCAGCTCCCAGGCCTGCCTCCAGTCCCCTTCCACCTCCATGGGACAGACCCCATTGAGAGTGCCTCCTCAGTGCCAAGGCGACCCCTCCAGGTAAGCCTTGAGTGCCCCAAGCCCTCAGGTCCTTTGGCTTGGGTGCTCAGCCTCTGAGAATAAAGAGTGAGCTCGAGGGCCTGGGGCAGTGGGGTCCCAGCCCTACCTGCTGATTCCCACTGAGCTGAGGGTCCGCACATACCTCCCAGCCTCCTTACCCGTGGCTAAGCCCCAGCCCCCTGGACCTCTGCCTATGCAACTGTTTTGGGGGTAGAACTGAACTTTGCACTGACTCTTGCTGGTCCTACCTGCTGATTCCCACTGAGCTGAGGGTCCGCACATACCTCCCAGCCTCCTTACCCGTGGTTAAGCCCCAGCCCCCTGGACCTCTGCCTATGCAACTGTTTTGGGGGTAGAACTGAACTTTGCACTGACTCTTGCTGGTCTGGCCAGGGTGCTGAGGTGCTTGTATCCTGCTCACCTCGACCTGACGCCAGACAGCACCTGGCAGGAAGCACACACAGACACGGCCACTGGCTGCAAGAACAGGGATAATGCTTTTATATTAGTTTTTCTGTAACAAGAATAATCAGCTTTGATATCTTCATCATCTTTTTCTTTAAAAAAAATGAAAAACCAATGGCACCCAGAACTTCTCTGCAGACCCAGAGAATAAAGGTGTCTCATTGGTGTGGCTGGGTTCTTCCTGCCTGGTTCAGCCCAGCCCCGTGCCTCTGCCCCTCTCTGCCCATCAGAAAAGTGCCTGTGGCCTACCAGGGCAGGGCAGGGAAGGGCTCTCAGCAGAGTGACTGTTCCAGCACTTGGGGGAAGCGGGGAGGGGCCAGTGCAGCAGTCCAGAAGGTTCCTGTCCCCAAAGGGAGGGAAAGGAACAAAAGCCAGCTTTTGTGAGTTCCAGAGAGCAGCAGGCACCTGGCCGCAGAGCACGGAGGTAACTCTGTGTCTTCTCCTGGGGATGGACGGACAGATGGATGGGGCAGATGGTGAGCTGTTCTGGCCAGTTCTGGCTAGGAGCAAGAGCTGTTGGAGGCACAGGCTGTGGAAGGCTGTGCATGACTGTGTGTGTGTGTGCGCACACGTGTGCACGTATGTACATGTGTGTGTGCGTGCATGTCCGCAAGGGAAGGAGCAGGCACCTGTGTGTGCCAGGGAGGGGTCCCACCCTTCTCTGGTCTGCATGGCTCAGGGGGCATGGCAGCAGTGTTGGGTGTGGGGTGGACAGTGTGCTGGTCTGGTGGGTGATGTGCAGCCAGCTGTGTGTGGCCAGGCTGGGTGTGTGTGGGTGTGACATGTGTCTACACATGTCTGGCTGTGGGACACACTGCAGGAAGGGCTGGGATGTGAGACTGTGTTCAGGCCATGTCATGTGGGACACCCCATGTGTGCAGCGCTGGGTGTGTCTGTGTGAGTGTGGCAGAATGGGGAGTCACAGGGCACAGGCTTGTGCTGCAGAAAGGAGTCCGGTGGTCCATTGTCCTGCAGAACACGTAGGAGAGTCAGGGGACAAGTCAAGGCAGACCTGTCAGCTGCAACCAGCCTGGCGGAGGTGGATTAGAGCTGGGTGGGGCAGGAGGCGCAGGAAGGGGCTCTGGGAAGGCCAGGCCCCTATGACTGAGGAGAGGGAGTTGCTCCTGGGAGCCCAGAGCCAGCAGGGCTGCCTACTGGGAAGTGCTCGAGCCAACGTGGATGGGACTGATGGGTACTAGAGAGCCTTTGGGTCCCACCGGACACTCCCTGGGGTCTCTTCCAGGGTCCCACTCAATTGACCTAACTATGGCCAATGTCTTCCAGAGGGGGTAGATTCTCTCCCTCCCACCCCAGGACTCTGCACCCCACTCCTGAGGGCCATAGGGTCCTCACTGAATGGCCAGTCACTTCTGTTGCTGACCCCTGGCTCTGCATAAGGACGGTGCCTCAGCAGAAGGACTCCACCTTCATACCCCAGGACCCCAGGAGTAGGGAAGGGAACTCCCAAGCACCGCCTCTGCTGTGCCTGTCCCTGTCACATTCCTCTCTATCATCAGCTTGGGCTCCTCCCTAACTCCCTCTGACACCCACCAAGGGGCTGTTGTCAGCCATCAACAGCCACTTCAGGCTTCTCTCCGCGGCCCCCTCTCGTGGCTTTTCCCGGGCCCTGGGACCCCCAGCACGGCTCACTCTTAACTAGCCTCTGGCCACATTGCCTCTCCTCCTGGCTACTTGCCACCACCATGCCCACTGTCCAACCTGCCTCTCTAGTGTCCCTGCCTACCAGCCCTCCTGGCTGCCCCTCCTTCCCTACCCAGCCTGACCCCAGCATCCATGACTTCAGCTGTTCTCTTGCCAATACACTCAATTTCCTTGTTCCTTGCCCTCCTGTCCCACAGACCTGGCCCAACACCCACCCATGGATGGGTCCAACTGTCTATCTTCTCCCCACCCTGGGTCTGCTGAGCATCTCTTACTACACAGGGAAAACAGAGGCTGAAGGCATCAAGCCAACATGACTTCACGTCCAGCTACCAAGCCACTAACCTGCCTGGGACTACAGCTACTCAGCCCTCCATCCCTCCTGCCATTCCCACAGGGGCCCCCACACCTGGCTCTCCATCATATGCTTAACCTCCCCCATGCTGGCCTCCCCTTCAGCATCCACACCAGCTTCACCCCGTACAAGAGGCATCAAATGAAATGAGCCTTCCTTGAACTTCACAGCCCCTTTCCACTACCACCCTCTCATCTTGAAAGAATTATTGACACTCCCTGGATCCACTTCCTTTCTAGCCATCTCTCCACCCCATCTACCTGGGCGGCTGCTCCCTACAATGTCATGGACGATCTCCACGTGGATAAATCCAGCAGGCCCTTGGCAGTGCTCAGCTCCCTCAGCCTCTCAGCAGTACTGATATGGCTGACTCCCCTGCTTCTGGAGAAGCCTGTGCATGTACATATCACGTGTGCACATATGCATGTAAGCCTGTGTGCATGGGTACGCATGAGTGTGCGTGTATGCAAGAATGTACTTGGCCTATGCCCACACATCGTGGAGTACGTGCATGTGTATCTTTACGTGCATGGATGTGGCGTGTGTTCTGCGTGTGCGTGCTCTGTGAATGTGTGCACATGAGTGTATGTGGGTTGGTGCATGTGTAAGCATGTGTGCATGTGCACATACATGTGCAAACACCCTCTGCCTGTGGCTGTCCATGGTTTTCCTGCCTCCTTTCCTGACTGCTCCATCTCGGTCTCCTCTCCAGGCTCCCCTCCCACTGTGCCTGTCCCCCTCACTTACTGTCCCTGGGCGGGCTCAGGCCCCACAGCTTCAGTGACTGTCTCAAGACATCACTCCTGAGCCCCAGACCCACACACCCAGCCCACCCCTGGGTGGCTCCCTTCACAGCACTCACACCTTGGATTAGAATTCCCCAACACGTGCTGGCCTCCCGCAGGCTTGCTATTATACCCAACCTCTCACCCAGCGCCTGGCGCATCCCAAGTGCTCTCATAGGTTTGCAAAATGAATGGATGAAGCAGAAGATGGAGGGTGAAAAATGGACAAAAAGACCCTAGACTGGGGTCAGGGACAGGAAAGTGTGGTGAGAAGTGAGTGCCTCACGCCCTCCCCAACAGACCACCTACCTATGTCAGATCTGTGTCACCTTGTCACTATCTCGTTTCCTCTTCTTCTTCATCCTCATCCTCCTCATCCTCTTCCTCTTCCTCTTTCAAGTGACCACGGTCCTTGGAAACGTCACCAAACTCAAAGTTTCCTTCAATGTCCAAGACCTGCAGGTGCTTCAGCCTCCGGAAGGCACTTTCCACCACAGAGCCCACGGCCAGCTTGTTAAACCTGTGCAAGCCATCCACATGGGGTCGATGCCAGGAGCCCAACCCCAGGGTCCCATGCCTACCCACCCAGAAAGTAAAGGCGGAGGGAACGGGCCCTCCCAGAAGATGGCACAGCTAGTAGAAAAGGCCGTGGCTGAGAAGTGTGGTGCATTGTGAGGAATACAGGGGTATTCTTCAGGGCAGCTACAGCTGGGGCAGGAGCTGACACTGGGCCAGTCATCTGTAAAGTGAGGGGGAGTCTGCCTTTGTAGACACTCTCACTACCATTTTGGGAGGGGCAGACATGGGCGCCACCTCTCCACGCACCCTCTGGCATTAACCCTGAGGCTGAGGCTCCTGGGCTGGGCAGCCTGGAGTCACTGCAGTGCCTAGAGTACAGTGGCATGCAGGCAAGGCCAGGGCTGAGCTGGGCCAGGGACACACTCAGGTTGTGAAATGATGGGGGTTGCAGCTCCGATCTCAGGCACCTCAACTCTCTGTGCCTTGGCTCCCCTGCAGAAGTCTGAGACACATGCTAGCCCACCCTAATGTCACCAAGTCCTGGGCCTTCTGGTCTGCAGAGTCCCTGGGAGTGCACACACTACTCTTCTGTTTTCTGTTCCCTTCTTTCTGATTGTCCCCCCGACTCTTCCCAATCAGAAAGAGCTACCTGGCTCTGTTGTACCGCTGTGCCTTGGCTCCCCTGCAGAAGTCTGAGACACATGCTAGCCCACCCTAATGTCACCAAGCCCTGGGCCTTCTGGTCTGCAGAGTCCCTGGGAGTGCACACACTACTCTTCTGTTTTCTGTTCCCTTCTTTCTGATTGTCCCCCCCACTCTTCCCAATCAGAAAGAGCTACCTGGCTCTGTTGTACCGAGGTCCCTCATATTCTTGGGGAGCTGGGTCCCTGAATCATTACAAACCCTCATCTCTCATCCTCACAGCCCAGCAAGGACCTGAATATCAATGTTCTGCGTCTGCTGTAGCTGTGGACACAGCAGTCACCTGTGATCTCTGGTCCTCAGCTTTCCCAGCTATACATTGGGAAGAGGCTCTCTGGAGTCCTTTCCTGCCACAGTAACATCAATGACACCTGTGTGCACTGGTTTTTAAGGTTTTTACAAACCTATGAACCATATCAGGCCTGTCCAGGACTGTCCCCACCCTTGAGAGCTGAGACATTGGTTTGGTGGGGTTCTGTGAGTATCCAGCCAGTCAGCAGTGGAGTCAGTCTTCGAATGCTGACCTCTACCTGTGAGCTGTTCCCAACTGTCCTGCTTAGAGCTGGGACAAGTGCCAAAGGGGTGTGTGCAGGGCAACAGGGGATCTACTACCTGAGAAAGATCCCCTTGAGGTTGGGTGTGGAGTCGAAGGCATTGGCAGGCACAGCGCTAATCTTGTTGTTCTGCAGGTACAGGTACTCAAGCGATTCAGGTAGCCCCCCAGGGATCTCCGTGAGCTGATTCCCGGCGATGTCCAGCAGCTGCGGGGGTGGCCAGGGGAGTCAGGGACTCCCACCTGTACAAAGTGCTTAACAGCTTACCAACCCCCCACCAAGCTCCCTGCCTATCTAAATCTAATGATAACCCTGTGTGTGGTGGGGGGAGGACAGTCTACAACATGCTGGGACCTCGTGTGCCTGACACTAAACCCTTGTTCTAATTGATGTGCATCCTACCCAGCCCAGCCCCTTCTGCTTCCCACATGAATTCACCGCCAAGATGTTTGGGTGTCACTATCCCTCTTTAACATACCTATCACCTCATCAGACTAAAAACCTCAGACCGGCAAAGGCTAGGGATCCTCCAGCCTTTCAATCTCGCTCCACTGGCCCTGGATGGGCACAGAGGGAGGTGCATAGGTGGAGCTGTTTATTTACGGACCTCAGGAGACACATATGCAAGGGCCAGGAGAAAGGGTGTGAGGCCCGCAGTGACCCTGGCACAACTTCCGGGCTCTAGGCTGGTCAGCCTCAGAGTCACCACATGCCTGGAGTCCAGGAGCTGGCAGTCAGAGAAATAGGGATGCGTTTCCCAGGGAGCAGAAGGAACCTGCAGAAGGCAGAAGACCTGCTACACACTGGCCTTGTGGCTACCCTCATTGCCTCTCTCCCAACCCACACACCTGTGCAGCCGCGGGGCAGCACGCCATGATCTCTCAGCTCCCTTCCTCACCCTGAGAGGCTGGATTCAGGCTCAGGAAACTGGGGGCCATGAATCCAGACATGCAGGCAAGTCAGCATCAGGATTCAAGGGCAGCACAAGCCTCCTGCACTTTAGGGAGCCTTCCTCTGCCAGCAGGGCTCCCTGCTTCCTTCTGTGTCCCCAAAGCACGGGTTGACTAAATGGTATGCTGGTGTAGGACGGATGTCTGTCTGCCTCCAGACATCTCTACTCTAGCGTTCCTTACCGCCCACGGGCACAGGGCATGTAGAATCCACTCAGACACTGCCTCTGCCCTCAGGAAGCCAGTCTGGCAGCGGAGATGGACACAAAATCTGACTATGACAAGCCAGTGGAATTGGGATGTGATGAGGGTATCTAGAGGAGGGGACTGACCGAGCCTTGGGTCAGGAAAAGCTTTCCAGGGAGAAAGTGGTTAACACAGGTGGGAGCTCAGAAGCAGCAGGAGCAGCTGCCTATAGAAAGATCCATGGCGTGAGGAAGAATTCCTCCCCTGTTCCCCACAAGACATCCCTGGTCCAGGCCCAGGGAGACATCTAACCTGCCCATCACTGAGGGAAGGGAAGGAGGACTTTCTGCAGGAGGTGACACCTGAGCTGAGTCCTAAGTATATGCTCCAGAAAGGCAATGGCCCTCCATCTGTCTTATTCCCCAGTGAGTCCCCAGTCCTCGAACTGCATCTGGCACGTGGTGGGAGCTCCATGAGGGCTTATGGGATGAAGGAATGAGTAGGCATCTCCAGTGAACGAGGTGGGGAAGGGGGCAGTATGAGCTGGGAGCAGAGGCAGAGCAGGCCTTGAAGGCCATGGCAAGGAGTCTGGCCTGGGTTCTAAGGGTAACGGGGAGCCACAGAAGGGTTCTGGACAAGAGCATGTGTTTTTCAAGTTATCTGGGACTGCACATGGAGTACAGGAGTGGAGGACTCCTAGGAAACTGGGGTCCAGGCAAGAAACAAGGTGGCCCAGCCTCAGGTGAGGGAAGCAGGGATGGAGAGAAGTGAATAGACTGAGAGACGTGTTGGTAGAACTGGCAGCTCCCAACAGCCTATCATTACCAGCAGGCGGCAGTGCAAAAAATGGAGATGACAAAGGGGCTTCCAGCTTTCCCGTGGACAGCTGGGTGAATGCCATCCTGTCCCTCCAGCGAGTTAGCAAATGCAGCAAGAGAAGTGGGTAAGGAGGAGAATACAATGGCGTTTGGGGCCCCTTGAGAATGGGCCACTGCGGAACACCCAAGAGGGATGCACATGTGGCTGAATACCAGTGTCTGGCACTCAGCGGAGTGGTCTGGATGAGGAGAGGCCCCAGCTAAACCTGCAGGACCAGCTGCCCCTAAGTCCCACCCTGCTCCACCTCAGGGCTCTACCCCCACCGTCCCCACTCTCTAGGCCTCTCCGCTGTGCTCTGCTCAGACATCCCGTTCTGACAGCAACCCTGACGTCATCCTTCCCGGCACTGACTGTGTGCCTACCACACAGAGGCCATGGGTCCAGCAGTGAGCACAGCAGACTAAAACGCCTGCCCCTCATTCTAGCCCGAGGGGCAGGCAACAAGCAGCAAACAGACCACCAAATACCCGGCAGGGATGAGGGTGATGAAGAAAAACAGAGCAGAGGGAAGCCAAGGCCACAGGGTAAGGGAAGGCCTCCCATGGAGGTGACATTTGAGCAGAACCCCGAGAGAGGAGCAAGCCCTGAGGACATCTGGGAGAGGGAACAGCTTATAGAGGTCCTGAGCCCCTTATGTTAGGTCTGGTTGTGAAGGGCAGGCCCTGGCAGAGCTGCAGAGGGGCTGTGGCAGGCCAACAGTGAGCCAGTGGTGCAGTCCAGCAGTCCCTGACCTGGTTGTACCTCATCCTCCTTCCCAGGTTCTCTGGTGACTTTCACTTTGGGGCCACGCTCATTGAGTTGGGAGCTCTCACATTCCTGGACACCCCTGCCTGACTCTGACCACGTGGCCACAGCAGCCACAGCCACTGACCAGCCCCAGAAGGCCTCAAGTTGACTCCCCAATCCCTAGCTATCTTGTGCCATCAGCCCACAGCCAAGCCATGCTCCCCTATCCCCCACCCCCACCCCAAGGCCCAACCTTCTCCAAGCACCTCTTCCTGTCCCTGCAGGTGGATGAGCTTGACTCTTCCATGCCACCCAAACTTCCCCCCATCGTTCTGAACCATGGGTCCCCCTACCTGCAGCCATGACCTCCGATTACCCCCACAGCCCTTCTCAAACCTAGATCTGCAGGTGCTGAGCTCAGCCTGGCCATATCAGAGACATCTCCTTCACCTGGTCCCAGCAGGTGGGCTCGGAGCAGCCATACCAGTACTACCCACCACAGGCATGGCCCAGCCCCCTCACTTCCCCCTTACCTGCAGATGGGCGAGGTCCGCCCAAGCGCGGGGACCCAGGGCCCGGCTGCGCAGTCGGTTTCCTGTGAGGTACAGCTCGCGCAGCTGGGCCATGCCCATCAGCGCCCCCCGTGCCAGGGCAGACAGCTCATTGCGCTTGACCTTCAGCACGTGCACGTTGCGGGGCAGCCCAGGTGGCAGTGTGTGCAGGCGGTTGCCCGACAGGTCTAGTGAGCGCAGCAGGCGCAGCTTGCGGAAGGCGTCGCGGTGCACCTGTGGGCTGGTGATGCGATTGTAGCTGAGGTTGAGCTCCTCCAGGAAGTAGGTGGTGGCGAAGTCGTCGCGGCCGATGCCTGCGATCTGGTTATGCAGGATCATGAGGGTGCGCACGCGGCGGGGCAGGCCGCTGGGCACGCGCTCCAGCGCATTGTTGTACAGGTGCACCGTGTGCAGGCGCTTGAGGCCCTGGAAGGCCCGCGGGTGGATGCCATGCGCCCGCAGCTGGTTGCTGTGTAGCAGCAGGTACTCGAGGCTGCGGATGGGGGTCAGCACGTCAGCGTCCACACTGCGGATGACGTTCTTCTCCAGGTGCAGCAGCACCAGGCTGCGTGGCAGCCCGGCTGGGACCCGCGACAGGTTGTTGCTGGACAGGTCCAGGTACTCCAGGCTGGAGAGCTTCCTGGGGGAAAGAGGGAATTAGGACGGTTGGCACAAGCCCACATTGCGCTTATTTCCATTATTCCCAGGGGAATTAGCAGGGGGACTACCTCTAATTCATCCCAGCTCTGCCAATCACTGACTGGGGGACCTCAGTCTTCTCCCAGACTCTCAACGGGTTGACTAAATGGTATGCTGGTGTAGGACGGATCTAGCAGTTTCTAACACATGGAAGCTTATTTGAAGACCACTATTTAATCTTTTGGTAGCTTTTTGTGGCTACCCTGGGCCCTAAAAAATGAAAGTATAGTTGCCTTCAGCAAGAATGTTTGAGTTTGTATTTCACACCAAGGCCAGCCTCTGCAGATGCCTCCTTGCCTCTCTGGAATCTTGGCAGGCCCTACCTATACACATTGCTTGTTTTTGGACACAGAGATGTCGACAGAAGCACAAGCCTCAAACTTCCTTCTCCAAGGAAATCAGCTAGGGGAGGTGGGCAAGGGATGAGTGTGAGAGGGCTTGGCTGGGCGGTGAGCCCAGAAAGGAGCTTCCTGGGCGCATGGTCACATGAGGGCGTGGTGAGACGGGGACTCACCAGAAGGTCTCGTTGTCGAGGCCTTCATCAGTCAGGTAGTTGTTCTGCAGGTACAGCTCACGCAGGTTGCTCAGCTCACTGAAGGCCCCTGGGGGGATCTTCTCTAGCTTGTTGTTCTGTGGGGCGGGAAGGAAGGGAGGAGAGTGTGAGGGAGACCCAAGGGGCAAGGCCAGGGCCTCAAGATGAGGTGTGGAGGGGGGTCTGGGGAGCCACCAGAAGAAGACCCAGGCCTGGACCATCCTAGGTATGGTGCTGACAGCTGTCCCCCCTCCTCTGCCACCCCCCACGCCCTGCACCAAAGGCCAGATACCGGGCTTCTGCCTGCTTCTCCACAGTAGACTCTGCTCTTGGCCCTCCCACGCCCTGCACCAAAGGCCAGATACCGGGCTTCTGCCTGCTTCTCCACAGTAGACTCTGGCCCCACAACCTCACGCAGGCAGCACCTGTGCCCTTGTGGGCTGGGCTCTCCCTGCTTCAAGTCTCTGCTCACATGCTCTGGCGGTGGGGTCTGCTGTCCCCCTCCCTTCCCTCTCCCCTCCCCACCTTGAGATGCAGCTTGTACAGGGCAGGCGGCAGGTGCTTGGGCACATGACGCAGGAAGTTGCTGGACAGGATGAGGATCTCAACATTGCTGGAGCCGTTGAACATGTTGTCTGGCAACCCAGCATCAGCCAGCTTGTTGTTGTGTAGGTACACGGACCTGCGGGTCAAGGCACAGGTCCTTGCCCCACCTGGGCTCCCCCTGGCCCCTGAGCCAGCTCACCTGGTGAGCCTCAGAACCCTGCTCAGCCTGAGTCTAGGGCCCAAGAATGCTCTCCTCCCATTCAAACCCAAGGGTGCAGAGCTAGAAGAGCCTCAGACCCTGCCTACACAGCTGAGGGGACCAAGGACCAGAAGGAGCCATGCCCCACCAGAGTCACCCAAGAAGTTAGTGGCGGAAATAGGATTTCCTGACTCCCAGTCAGGCTCCTCCACACTTTTCAAGGTCCTCAGCCGACCCCCAACCATCCCTGGCCTGGAGTCCTTGCCTCCCTCTCAGCTCCTTCGTCCCTACCTGCCATCCCCGCACAGTCTGGCTCTGGGTTCTATAGGACTTTCTGAAGACAGGGCCTATCCGTGCCTGCCCCTTTGCCCCCAGTGCCCAGCACATGGCCTGGCTCAGAGGAGGTGACCCTCATTCATTCAGCAAATAAATAGTAAATATATCCCATAATATATTAAATATATATGTACATGTACACATACTTTGTGTATAAATCAATGTATGTACTATGGGCCAGGCCTATCTAGACTCTGAAGATATAACAGTGGACATAACCAACAAGACCCTGCCCTCAGGGAGCTAACATAGTTATCCTCTGCTCCTCCAGCACCTGGATGTCCCTCCACTGCAGCCCCACTGCACCAGTCCCTCCTCCAGGGCCTGTCCATGTTCACACAGGATGGGCAGCCTCCACCTCAGCCCTGCCCCGTTCCCCAGTCTGAGCCTAGGGCCACCCCTCTGACTCTGACCTCAAGTTTGGCTTCTGGCCAAAGGTGAGCCCATAGATCTTGGTGAGATAGTTGGCAGCAAAGTCCACACTGATCAGGGCGTTTGGCAGGAATCGGGGTGCCAAGGTCAGCTGGAAAGGGAAGAGTTGGGGCAGAAAGACCAATGGGGGGCAGAGGCCAGCTCCAGGTGCCACTGCCTGCTGCTCATCTGGCCCCTTTAATTTTCTCCTCCCTGTAACCAGGGTCATCTTCCTAAAATGTAGACCTTCCCACTCCCCTAATAAAAAAAGAAAAAACCCTCCCAGCTCCCTCAGCCCTTAGCTTGGCATTCAAAGCCCTCCAGACCTGTCTCCAGCCCTGCCTGTCCTCCTGGGCTCATCCTGGGTGCATGGAGGGTAGAAGTGGGATAGGACTTTTAAAGGTCGCTTTGGCTGCTCCAAGGAGGATGGGTAGCAAATGAGGAAGCAGGGGCATCCACGTGAGGGGAGGCAGCCGAGTGCCATGGGGGACTGGGGACGTGCCGTGGGACTAGACACGGGTGAGTGGAGCTTAGAATCCAGAAGCACTTCTGGATCTGTGGCTCACACCAGTGGTTCTGTAGGTGGTTAGAAAGGTCCTTTACACAGATGGGAAGACGGAGGAGATGGGGTTTGGTGGCTGTGGGCAGGAAGCAGTAGCTCTATTTCCATTAGACATCTAGCAGAGAAGTCAAGGAGGCAGGCGGATCTTTGAGGCTCGAGCCTGAGGAGTGGAAAGGGCTGGAGACTGCCACTGGGTGTGGCCATGATGCAGATGGGAGTCAAAGCCTGGGAGGGTAGGGATCACTTCAGAGGAGTTCAGAGGGAGAAGGGGCCAAATATCTTGAGCTTGAGTGCCTTTGTGCTTTCCCTGACGCTGTCCCTTCTACTATAGTGCCCTCCCCCGGGGCCCCTGGCTGGAATCCTATTACTCTTCATGCCCCTGCTCAAATGCCATCTCCTCCAGGAAGCTCTCTAAGTGCCCCCTCCCAGTGGGGACAAGCCCTCCCTCCCCTATACTCCTGTAGGCCTTGGCTTCTGTCTTCATTATCTGACATACTCTGATGCCCTGAGTTACTGGCCTGGGGTCTCTTTTGACCACCCCCCCCCCACTGGGAAATGTCTGTGCAGCAAAGGGGACCCAGCGGCCAGCTGAGTAAAGGCCCTGGCAAAAGTTCACAGAACTCAGTGGAAGACAGCACCAGGAGGACAGGGCAGCATGCCCCCACCCTGCCTCAGGGCCCTCACCTTGTTATTGGCCAGGTACAGGTAATTGAGGTTGGTCAGATGCTCAAACGCCTCCTCTGGGAGCCCTTCAAAGGACAGTCATCGGTCAGAGCCCTGGATGAAGGAGACGCTACAGGGGAGCATTGCGAGCGCCCGCCCCCTCCCCCATGGACACCCCACTTGCCAGGACAAGCAGTGGGGGCCAGGGGCAGCTCAGATCCCTTCTCAGTCAGTCCCAACAGGCTTGCCCGGCCCCATTTTCTTTCTCCTTGCTCACACGGGTCCAAGCCCAAAGGAGCAAGCAGTTAAGTGTCTGCTGAGGGACTGAGTGATCCTTCACCCTGAGTGGGAATGATCCCGGTAAGGTCAGGCCACCAGGCAGAGGACCCGACCTGACCCTTTCCTGTTCCGTCTTCATCCCCAGCCCCGTCCACGGCAGGTGGGGCCGAGCTGGGATGTTTCCATGCAGGGCGGGGCTGAGGGCCCTGGACATCCCCACCACCTGGCTTGCCCCTGCCCCATCTGGCAGAGGTAGTGTCAGGACTCAGCTGTCGCAGGGAGCCTGGCCAGGATGGCTCCTCTCCAGCCCTGAGGCCGGCCTCTGACACTCGGTTCCAGGCTCCAAGACCCCTAGATGCTGGGATCCACCCAAGTTTCTAACAAGAGGGAACAGTTATATAAACCGTGATACAGCCCTCCATGGAATACCCTGCTGCTGCTTTGTACAGTGACGGTCAGTGAGAGCTTTAGCAACATGAGAAACGCTGCTGAGCTAATTGCTAAGTGAAACAAAGCAGGTTATAATATCTGCAATATGAGTTCAGCTATGAATTTTAAAATGCAAAGAAAACAAGGCTAGATTGGGTTGTGGTGATAGCTGCGCAACTGTATACACTTACTAAAGCTCATTGAATTGTACCTTTAAATTGGTTAAATCTTACGTTTTATAAATTATACCTCAATAAAGCTGCTTTTTTTAAAATGGAAAGAAGTATACCCAAATACCAATAGTGATTAATTCCAAGTGGCTGAAATATGAGTGTTATTTTTTTCTTTCCATCTTATTTTCCAAATTTTCTCTCCCAACCATGTATATTATTTTCATCATCAGAAAAAAAAAATACTTTTTAAAATTTGAGGATTCTACAATCCTTCAATGCTAAAGGTTCTCTGTGAATTGACGATTCTAAGAGAAGGTCCTGGGAAGCTAATCTTCTCCAAAGCCTCCCCCGTCCTGTCTCCCAGGTCTCAGAAACACCCAGGGGTGGCTTTTAGGTGGCAAGAGGGAGCCCCTCGTGCGTGTGGAGGTGGTCCTCATGCAGATCCGCTGCCAACCCAGCCCAGGCCTGCTCTTCTCTGTAGAATCTCAGGATCTGCAGAGCCAAGCTCTGGCATCTGGCACCACTCAGGCCCCAAGTCCCTACCTGTGTCCCCAACCCTGGGCTTTGGGCAACCCCTCACCTCGGGAAGTCAGGCGGTTGTTCTGAAGGTTCAGAGTCTCCAGCCGTTGAAGCCGAGAGAGCTCCTCAGGGTAGATCTTCTCCAGCTGGTTGTTCTGGGGAGATGTCGGGCGTGGGGGTGGCGATGAGGAGCCAGCATCAGCCTGGTGGGGGAGTGTCCAGGGCTCCTGCCCCTCCCCTAAGCCCCAGTCCTAGGAGCCAGTGCCTCTGTTGGGCACTTCCCTTAGGATCTCCCCCATAGCAGATAGACCCTGAGTGCTGGCTCTGAGCCAAGCCTGGATATGGGCACTGGGGACACAATAGCAGTGACCACAACAAATGTGTGAGTCCCTCCTTCTATGAGCCAACACATGGACCTCCACGGGCAGCTCAAACTTGTCTACCCTGCAGATCTGCTCCCCGAGTGTTCCCACTTGGTGACAGGCATCCACAGCTATTCCCCAAGCCAGAACCACTTTTGCTTCCCTTTCTTGGCCCTGCAGTCCCCACCCCGCTTGGAATGCTTTAACACTTGGGGCAAGTAGCACTTCCTCCAGAAGCCTTCCTGGGTTGGATGGGGGCTGGATTAGAAGCCTGCTCTGGACACCACAGCACAAGTCCTACTGCCGTCTGATATCTCTATCTGTGTGGGTCTCTGCCTCACCCACACACTGTGAGCACCTGACAGGCAGGAAGTGTCCAAGTCCTCCCTACATGCCCAGCACCCCACACAGGACCGGAGGCATAGAGCAGGTACTCAACGAATAGTCTACGTAGGAATGAATGAGCACCTGAACCAACTATAAGAGCTATCTTTACCTTGTCCCGTCCCCTCATTGGCTATCCTGGCCTTGGGCTCCCACAGCTGCCTGCCCAGACCCACCCATGTTGCGTGACCATGGATAGGTCACCTTCCCTCACAGGTCTGACCTCCTCTGGAAATGGGTGGAACAGCCCCTCCCACTCCACAGGGCTGCTGGGCCACACAAGGCCATCATGGGTGCACTAGCGCTCCCAGAGTCCCCCCCATTCTGGAACACTGTGTCCCACTTCTCGAGGTTCCAAAGTCCAGGTGTGCCTCAGCTGGGGAGAGCACTCTGTCCTCTGATCCTCCAGAGCACTCTAGTCAGGGTCTCCTTTGCTCTGGTTTTGCTGTTCTGGTAACAGCATCTGCAGTGCCCTGACTGTCTGTTCAGAGGGTCAGCTGTCAGGCAGGTCTGTGTCCATTTTCAGACAGAGCCTGACTCTACTTACTGGGCCTCAGCCCACACTCCTAAGTGAACAAAGCAGGTTATAAATATCACAGTGCCCTGTGACTGGGACATCAAGAGGGGGTGCCATGTGGATGGGGCCAGGACTCTGCCAGTCTAACCTGCCCTAGCACCCTGTATCTGGGGGTGGGGAGCTACAGTACTGAAGGTTCTAGGTGAACAGGTTACCATGAGTGTTGGTGATTCTGGGATGGGGGCCATGAGTACAGGGGCCAGCCCCTGGTTACCACTGGCATGATGTGGGTCTCACCTGCAGGGACAGGTGGTTGGTATGTTCAGGCAGGTCCCCTGGGAATTCACGCAGGTCAATGCCACCACAGTCCACGACACCCTCTTGGGAGCAGGCACAGTCTTGGGGGCAGTCTATTGCAGCTGGGCCAGGCCCTGGCTCCTCAGGGCTCAGGACCAGCACCGGCTCCTCCTCCACAAATTCGTTCTCTTCAGGTCTCAGGCTGTGGGTGCTGCTTCGGCCAGACACCGGGGCCCTCACTGAAAGCACAGGTCCCAGGTGCAGCTGCGGCGGTAACAGCAGCAGGAGCAGCAGCGCCCTGCTCTGGGCCATGGTACCTGCAGGAGGAGTTGAGTCAGACCCACCTTCACACCAGGGCTGACCATCTGTTAGGTACAGTGGGTAAACAACTAGGGCCCTCGAGAGTCACGACTGGGCCCTCCCTGGCACAAGGCAGTGCCTGCTCTGGACCCTGTCCTCGGCACCCAGCTGATTTGTCGACTGCCTCCCTCCCCCTCCCAGTCAACTCTCATCTGGGCTGTCCCCTGGAGGGGTGTGAAGATGAAGCCCTGTCCTTAGGTTGGTCTGCAAAACCTACTGCAACCCTCACCAGTCCTGGCCCCAAGGAATCTTTACCCCCATTTCAGAAGGGGAAGCTAAGGCAAGACCTGGTCTTTGCTGAGCTCCTGCTGCCCTGGCACAGGCCATGCTGGGAGACCCTGTTTCTCCTCTGGCAGCCATAGGCCACTGCAGTCCAGTACCAGCAGGGTGCATCCCAACTCTTAGCTTGCCATTCTCAGATCTTCATACTTGGCTCTGCCTCTCTCCCAACTCCTTCCCCTAACTGCCTCCAGTAACACAAGACTATTAGTAGTTTCTCCCTCCAGGCCTTTGCACATGCTGTTCCTTCTGCCTGGAATGCCCTTCCCCTCTCTTCTGGACTCCAGTGTTATGATGAGGAAGATTCTCAGATGCCCCAGAGTTCTCTACCATACGCTGCCCCAGGGCTTAGCATTAGCAGGGTTGGGTTGCGAATATGCAAAGGAGTCTTTTCCCAGCACAAGGTTGTGGGTAACTCTCCATGTCTGGGTGCAGACCAAGCCGAGCCTGGCATAGAAAAGGTATTTATTAGTGAATGGGGCTGTTGCCCCCATGCCCTCCCCTCTCCCATTGCTGAGGTTTATACCCTCCACTGTCCTAACCAGGGCCTGGTGTGCTCACATGCCCACTGCCACCTGCAGGAGACCACTCCCCAGCATGGCCCCCTGGTGCAGCAGGATTGTGGGGAGGCGGGTACCGGCAATGGTCTCAGGCCCACTGAGGAAGATGCTGGGATGCTGTTCTGCCAGCAGTCCCATGGGCCTAGGCTTGGCTCAGAGCTGGGTCCCTGAGTTTACAGGGACTCAGACACCTCTAGGATCTGACAAGTTGTGACAGCAGGAGCTCAGGTACATTGACTCTAAAATCCCACAGACCCAGTTTGAATTACACCTCCACCACTTTGGGGCTCTGCCCTCTGAGCCTCAGTTTCCTCATCTGTATGATGCAGACAATACATCTAAACTCACAGCTACCGTGAGGAGTCAGTGAGATAACAGATGTAAAGTACCTGGCACCTATCAGGTGGTGAGGAGCTGCTATCACTACCTAGCGACTGGGCACAGTAACGTGCTTCAAGTGAGCAGGAGGCGCTGCAGCGAGCATTGGGGCTTGGACTGAGCAGTGCCTGGCTTGGGCTGAGCCTCTCCGCCCACCTCTAGATCGAGAACCACAACCCATTGAGCAGTCAGAAGAGTCTGACGAGACACTGGGCCTGGGAGGGTTTGGTAAACTGGGAATTTGACAATGACGCTGATGTCTGGTTGAGAAGGCTCCAAAGCCAGCAGCCAGGGCTGAGGTCTCAGCTCTGGCTCTTATCAGCTGTGTGACTTGGGGCAAGTTTTGTAACCTTTTGAACCTCAGCCTCCTCCCCTGTCCTTGGGAATGATAAGAGAACTGATCTCGTGGGGAGGTTGTGAGGTGTCGGTGAGATGCACGTTCTGCACACAGTAAGTGCTCAATGAACCTGAGCTCTTCCTACAACGAACCATCTGCTCACGGGCATGCTCTGCAGCCCGACCACAACATCACCCACCCCAGAGTCCCTGCTTCCTCACCTTCCTGCTTGGGCTTTTCAACACAGGCCCAGGCCTATCTCCCCCCAGAAGGTGTTGCAGACTCTCTGGTCGTCTACGAATTCCAGCTGCCAGTGGCTGCTGTGCTATTTCTTTCACATACCACTTTGCCTCCATCACTGGCTCTGCCAACTCTCTAAGGGGAGGCCCCGTCTGTACCAGGCTCTGTGCTGGGCACCAGGGACACAGATGAGGTAAATAAGGCCCTAAGGTGTGGCAGACCCCAGTACCAATAACCACTGCCCACCCAGACTGGGGTGGGGGTACATGGGGTCCTGAGGAACATGGGTCCCCAGAGGGAAAAGGTGTGAGAAGGGAGAAGAGGGAAGGCAGTCAGGCTTGCTTGACCCTACAGGGCCACATGGCCCAGGCAGACTGGGTCCTGCTAGAGAACCAGAGAGATAGCACACACAGAGCTCCTCGGCTCAGTGATCAGTCGGCAGCAGCAAGGGATGCCCACAGCAGCCTGGCCCTATGCTCGCCCTGCCACACTCCTGCTACACCTGTCCCCTGACCAAATGCTAGTCCACAGACCATCATTCCCATGGCACATGAGAACGCCACAGCTAGTTCCAACAGCCTTCAGCCCCTAGAGCTGCCAGCATTAGACCGGAGCAAGCTTCCTGACTCCTTGCCCGTCTGACGCCCCCTGCAGACTGGGGCTCTGAGAGGCGGCAGGAACAGACCCCAGCCCCAATTCAATCAGGGCAGGAGGCCAGGAGGAAGGATCCAGAAGGAACTCTGGTCCCCACATATTCTCTGCACTCATTGGACAGGCTGTCCTGCCTCCCTCAACTTCAGTTTTATATCTGTAAAAATCTGTAAACTATATCCATAAAAATATTTAATTTATATTAACATTCTGAACCATATTGAAATGTTAACACCACTTTATAGATTAGGGAGCTGTCAATGTCTAGATTTGGGATCAGCCAATGTAACAGCTGTTAAGTGACAAAGCCAAGTTCCCACCCCAGGTCTCAAGCACAATGCTATGCTGTTCTCCCCTGGGCCAAGCTGGGTGCTGGGAACCCAGACAAAAGATTCAGGCATGGCTCTTGCCCTTGTGAGGCTCACAGCTGCACTGTTCACTCCAGTAGCCACTTGCCCCATGTGGCTATTGAGCACTTAAAATGTGGCTCGTCCATACTGAGACATGTGATAAGTGTAAAGTGTGGTATACATGGATTTCAAAGACATAGTACCAAAAAAGTGTAAAATGCCTCATTAATACTAATATTGATGATTAGTTTTAAATATCTCACAAAATATCTCATTTTTATTTTTATATTGATTACATGATAATATTTTGGATATCTTGGGTTAAATAAAATAAAATTAAGTTTGTTTCATTTTACTCTTTTTAATGTGGCTTCCAGAAAATTTCACACTATGTGGCTTGCATTTGTGGCTCACATCATATTTCTATTGGACAGTGCTGGTCTACAGCATCATGTGTAAACTGAGTATTATAATCCCAGTGTCATGAGAGGTATGGGGAAAGCTTAGAGTCCATCGGGGCCCAGAAGAAGCCTAACCTTGCCTGGGCCAGAGAAGGCTTCCCAGAAGAAGTGATGCCTGATCCAGCTATTCTGAAGGATGAATGTCAGGCTAAAGAGAAAGGGAAATACAGGCAAGGAGGTCAGCGTGTGCAGAGGCCTAGGGGCAAGAAAGTCCACACTATGAATTCTACGAAGCTCATAACTGTCTGGTGGGGGATGGGGACTGGCAGTGATAAGAGTGGGCACAGTGGCCACATGTCCAGGCCAACAAGGAGGTACTCGAAGGCCAGGTTAGGGAGTTGTGAGCTTCATCTTTGGAGGATGAAGAGCCATGGAAGTACAGGAGTGTGACACTGGTTGGTTATGGATGGACTGTGAGGCTATGCAATGGCACAGGCAAGGGATGATGAGCCTGGTCTGGGCAGAGATGGGGGTGCTGGACACAGGGATGGAAAGGAGGAGCTGGCTTCGAGGGAAAAGCATGGCAACTCCCCTCCCCCCAGCCGGACCTGGGATCTTGGGCAGCTCCAGCTTTACCACCTGGCTTGCTATATGACCTGGGCCCCACCACTGGCTCGAAGGCCAGGTTAGGGAGTTGTGAGCTTCATCTTTGGAGGATGAAGAGCCATGGAAGTATAGGAGTGTGACACTGGTTGGTTATGGATGGACTGTGAGGCTGTGCAATGGCACAGGCAAGGGATGATGAGCCTGGTCTGGGCAGAGATGGGAGTGCTGGACACAGGGATGGAAAGGAGGAGCTGGCTTCGAGGGAAAAGCATGGCAACTCCCCTCCCCCCAGCCAGACCTGGGATCTTGGGCAGCTCCAGCTTTACCACCTGGCTTGCTATATGACCTGGGCCCCACCACTGACCAATCTGAGTCTCAATTTCCACCTTGTTTTTCTAAGAATATTGAGCAAGATAAACCCCCGAAACCTATTCTGTGTGCCAAACCATGTGGAAGGTGTGTGGGGGAAAAACAGAGGACACAGCAGACGCCTGGTCTCCAGGGGCTTCAAGTCCACCTGGGGAGGAACAACTCAAACCCCTGGGACAGAGGCACAGCTTAGTCTGTGGTGAGCTCCTCCTCACTGGAGAGTTTTAGAGATGGAAGGACATGGGTTCCAATCCTGACTGCTGTGTGAGTCTGGACAAGTCACCACACTGCTCTAGGCCTCTGTTTACTGGACTAGGAAATGGAGATGGGAGCTACGAGTGAGGATTAAGTGAAATGACAGCCTAGCATGATGCTAGCACCAGGTAGGTGTGCCACACACAGGGTTACTGTTACTGAGGAAGTAAGTGGGATTCGCTGTCCCCTACCTCCAGCTTGGGGAACCAAGCCTCGAGGCACAGTGGGGGATTAAGGCAAGACTGCAGGAAGGAATGGGAAAACCCAAATCAGGAGGCAACTCCTCAGCCCCCAGCACCACCCTCCTCCTCCACTCAAATTCAGTAAAAATTCACTAAAAATTCACTGATCACCTGCTCTGTATGGGGCCCCAAATGGCTGCATCTTGTTGACTCTAATAGAAATGCCAGGACTAAAAGTTTGTCTTCCTATTTTGCAGCTTCGGAACTCAAGCACAAAGGGGCTCCCATTGCTGTCCATCCATAGAAAACTCTTCCTCAAATGCCCCCGATCCAGAAAGCCTCTCCTACCACTTGACTGGGTTAGGGTGTTCCTGAGTGCTCCCACCACACCGCCAGCCCTCTTCATCCTTCAGGGCTCAGCTGAGCCTCCCCTGGCTCCCTGCTGAATGAATGAATGAGTTTGTGAAAGGCAGCGTTAGAAAACATCTGCAATATTATCTGGTATGACTCCCTCAATTTACAGATTAGTATGTTAAAGCAAGGCCAGGACTAAAATCTGAATCTTCTGCCCCAGCCTTGAGGGGGTCTTGAAGACTGAGTAGGAGTTCTCCAAGTGGACAAAGGGGAGGACAGGCACTCCAGGCAGAGGGAAGGGCACAAGCAAAAGGTATTGGTGTGGGATGGGAGAAGGGTGAGGTTTTTTTAAGAAAAGGTAAACGGGGAGGGAGGTTGGGGCTGAAGGCCTAGGTTGCCAAGAGTATAGGCCACAGTGCGAAGTTGTTAGTGATAGGAAGCCATCAAGGGTTCCAGGCAGGTCATGGTCAGTGTTCTTATGTATGACTCTACCAGGCCTAAAGGTGCTACTGTTAGTCACCCCCCATCCAAGATTCAGACAGAAGGGACAAAGTATGCTCCCACAAGATGATGTGAAAACAGTCATTTGAATCTGACACTTCTTAACTTGCAGAAGGCTAGAGAAGACTGGGCCCTAGGCCCCAAGAGTGGCCATAAGGCACTGAACCCCCAGACCAGTCACTGGTCTTTCCCATGGCAGCCCACAGGCTCTTCCGAGTGGTGTGAGACCGGTCATTTGCCCCCCACCCCACCCGGGCCTCACCTTGACCTTCCCACTGCGGAGGGTTTCTGTTCAAGGGAGGGGTGGGGGGCAGGACCACCCAGGGGCTCTCCCGGCTCACACAAGCGGTGCCTCTTGGAATCAGGCAGATCACAGCTTCCCTTTCCCCGGCTGACCCGAACTCAAAAGGCAAACGCTCAGGTTGCGTGGGCCTCGACAGGTCCGTAATTTGCTCCAAGCTCTGGGCCCGCATCCCTCTGCGCCTCCCGGACCGGGACCGTCAGCTCCGCATGTGCTCGGGTCAGGGCACTCGCCCCGTGCTACCGTGCCTGCTCCTCCCAGTTTAGGCTGCAGCTGCCTTCCATCCCCAACCCCAGCCCCGGAGGCCACTAGGAGCTCGCCGCCACCACCATCGCCGCTGCCGCCACCTCCTCTTCCACCTGTCAGTACGTCAGGTATTCCAACGCCGAGATCTCTTCCCCCGCCCTAGGCCAGGGTGATGGCTCAGGGACCCGCAACCTGGGGCTTCAGCTGCATTTAGCAGGAGGGCGCCGACCTTGCTCCTTGCGCTCCGCGGCCGCTCACCCCCCTACACCCTCTTCATTCAGCTGTCCCGGCCGGGAAGCAGCCGCGTAGACAGACAGACGGATTCCAGGCCGTCGGTTGAGAGCTTTTGGCTCAGCCTGTGCGCAGCGCTGGGCTGGGGCGGCGCAGCGGCCGGGGGAGCCGAGCCCCGGAGCGGGGCTGGGCGACGCACGTGCGGGGTCCGCCTCACCTGTCCACCCTCCCTGCGGGCGGATCTCTGCCTCTCTCTGGGCCTCAGCTTCTCTATCTGTAACGAAGTCGGAGGTTGAACTAACTGGGGCCCCTGATGAGTTGATGTGGAAAGACGCGGGAAACGCTGGACCCTGGCTCTAGGCAGAGGGGTCCACGCCCCTGCCCAGTTCCACCTGCCCCCACATTCCCTGTCGCCCGCCTCGTCCTTCCACCCGCCTCCCATTCGCCCTCAGATTCTTTCCAGATGTGCGCAGCGGGAGGGGCCCGGGGGCTGGGACCAGTCTCGGGCCAGAGAGGAGAAAAGGCCCCTGCCCGGGTGCTGATGGCGCAGGGGTCGCACCCCGGCGGGGAAGATCTCCGGCCATGCCCTGGGTGCAGGGTCCGACGGAGGGGGTGAGACGCGGCGGCCCCGCCCCGTACAGCTGCTGGGGCCGTCCGGAGAAGGCGGGGAAGTCTGAGTCTGCTGCCCAGGCTCGGCCCCCGGCCCCTCGGCGCCCCCAGCCGCCTGCGACCGGTACCTGCTGCGCCTCCGTGCAGTGCCGCGTCCCGCCGGCCGGACGCGCTCCCCGGAGTGTCGGCTGCGCTCCGCGGGCGCTGG